CCTGTGTGTTACCAAAGCCAAAGCAGTCTTCCAGCACATTCTCAATCTACTAGTGAACATGGCAATGGAGCTTATACCTCAGTTCCGCTATTCCCTTGTAAAAGTTGTGTGTTGGCCTTTTCTCCCTGACAAGCTTATAGGCTATTTTACAAAAACATCTCAGACATGGTTCCTGGTATATTGTCCCATACATAGTAATCCCTCAATAAATATTTATTAAGTTATGTAAACCAGGATCTTAGTTAATCCCTAGTGTCGGGGAAAACGAATAATCGCTTTTCTTAAGATATAGGTTCAAGCTTAAGACTTGTCACATGTGCTGTTGAATGGCTGTCCATAATAAACTTTACCAAATTCCGAGAAACCATTCACAGCCAAGCTAGCACCAACACCCTCTAAAGCATGTGTCCTGCACCTTTTCAGTCATCTCTGACTCAGTAACAATAGCGATATATCTTGAATGACTTTACAACAGAAACTATGGTGGTCCTGCATATTCTTAAGTCCATGATTAAGATTCTGATAGACTTGCTTCCTGAATCAGTTGCCTGGTTTACTCATCGCCACCTTTTCCTTGTTTTGTTATGGTCACATGGAGGAAGGGAAAGGGGAGTACTACAGAATCCTTTAATAGAGCACTAATACCATTCATGAGGGCTCCACAGTTGACCCAATTGCCTATCAGCAGTATCCCTTCCTAATCATAACACATGGGATTAGGATTTCTACCTAGGACCTTGTGAGGAAGCAAGAGATGATACATACAGTTTATAGCTTCTCTACCATTATTCCCCTAATGGTAGAGAATAGTAGCCACTCTGTGTGCTGTTACAATATGCTAAGTTAAATGATAATGGTTTAAGAGGATAGTTACAGCAACCAATTAAACATTACAAATGGTACTGTACATATATAAGTGATATGTATATTTATCACTTATTAGAGACTTACTCTCTGCCTTGAGAGGCAAAAGTGACTGGATACACTTCAAAACTTAGAACATTGTTGAACTAGGCTATTGAAAATTGTCAACAAGTAAATATACAAACAAGACTGAAATGTCCTGCACACGTGCTTTCAAGTTGGTTATTTCATTAATTTTTTCTTTCAAACTCATAGGCAAGTTTCTGCGTGAATGATACCTGTTTGGAGCTGGTAAGATGGCTCAGTAGTTAAGAATATGTGATGTTCTTGCAGAGGACTTGAATTTGGTTTCATCCCTCAATTTGTGAAACTCACAACCATTTGCAACTCTATTTCCAGGGCACCCAGCTTAGTCTTCCTGGCCTCCAAAGGCACCTTCTCTCTCTCTCTCTCTCTCTCTCTCTCTCTCTCTCTCTCTCTCTCTCTCTCCCTCCCTCCCTCCCTCCCTCTCTCTCTCCACACACACACACACATATATCCTTCTCTCAAAAAATAAAACAAATATTTTTAAAATGCCTCTTAGAAGGACTGACCATGACTAACATTTTTGCTTGGGAGGGAGTAGGAGAAAATTCATCAATAAACAACACTACTAACATTGTTTTCTCTCTAACCAATCTGACAGAAAAGCACTCAAATCATTAAAATCTTAACCCAAGTAGGAAAGGAACTTTTTGTTTTATTTCTCACATCTTTAGTCTAGCACAGAATCCAGCCACTACTAGGTATTTGGGTTGAATAGATTTCTGTATATCAAATTCAGTTAGAAGTCTCAGAAATTAAAAACTATGGCATTCTTGCAGAAAGTGCTATCCTACAAAATCTTAAGCTACCTGTGTTGTATTAATAAAAGTATGGGTTAAAGTTTCTTTTAAGTGGATTTTGTCACTAAGATCATAACTGTGCTACATTTGTAATTTATCTATCATCATTGCATGTACATAATAAAATGGCAACTGTTGATCACTACGAAAGTATGTTTATCAGGCAGTGTACTAAGCTTGAGTTTGAAAAAAAATCCCAAGACTTAGACTAGAAGTTTTTCTCTAAAATTATGGAGTTTTTAAAGCTGGGTGTGGTGGCACATACCTTTAATCCTAGGGCTTAGGAAGTAAAGGCAGGTAGATCTCTGTGAGTTGGAGCCAAGCTGGTCTATATTAGTTGCAGACTATCTAATGAGAACTTGTCTCAAAGCTCACTAACAAACAGTCAAACAAATAACGAAATAAATGTGAACAGTGCTTTTCCAAATCTCAGTGCTGTGTGATGGCTGACTGACTGAGTGGCCAAGCTGGTAAGAGGAATAGTGTTAAATGGTGGAGGTGGCAGATTCTTATTGTGTGGGGCTTCAACTAATTTTAGTTGAAATATAAACTGTTGGATAGTACAAAATTACTTTCACAAACTCCATAATCGCAACTGCCAATTTCTCCATGACTAACCCTGCCAGATGTTTCTTTGGTTTTGCTGAGTCACTTTTTCTCCCCCACTCAGAACTCTGTGTTCTTATTAACTCTGAATTCCCTCTGGCTTTTTCTCATATTTTGCCTTTTACCTTCCTTTGGGGAGGGGAAATGGTTAAATTGCTCCTTTTTCCATCTCTAATGCAAATAACACGGTTTTTTGTTTTTGCTTTTTTTTTAAATATTACTCTCAATTTAACCTTTTGTCATAATTCTTTACCTGTTCTTTTCATAAGAAGACAGACATTTTTGAGGAAGTTATGCTAAACAGCCATTCAGCCTGGCTATCAACAATCTCATCACATCCCATGACTGAGCAGATTCTGAATCACCCTAGAATGCAGTCTGTTGAAAAAATGAACAGCTCCCAAAACTCTTCATTCTGCTCTGAAACTGCCTCTCCTCCGGTTAGAAGTCCTGGAAGCCACAGAGTCTCAACCACCTTGTGACAGCTGGGGCGAGCTGCAGAGCGGTCCCTGCCTTTTGAATCACATTCGTATTTTCTCATCAGTCCAACCATCTCACTGCCTGGCTCCTAGACAGAAAAACTTCAGTGACAGAGACCATCTCTTGAATGTTAATTGAAACTTTCAGCTACATGCATGTGTGCATACTAATCTTCATTGATTCAAACATATGAAACTCCTCCTAAGTGCTGGCAAAGGGCTGGGAGGAAAACGTGACACCCTGCACCCTTCCCCCGCCCCCCCAAAAAAGCTTGAATTGGGAAGATTGACGTGTGAGTGCACAATGGAAGTTATGTAAGCACTGGATGAGTTGGTAAAGCTGTTAGCATGCTCTATATATGTGCACAGGAAAGGCTGAAAGAGTGTCCTGGTCATTTGCAGATTCCTCATCAGCCACACTTCACTATTGGTTATGCAAAAGGAAATCGAAGTCGAGGTTTCTACGTGTCTTCATGCATGTGTGTTTTGAGGAATAGCCAACAGGATCTTTCCGCCTATGAACAATAAGTTACCCAAACTGCAAGTGTATATGAATGGAAACACTGATCATGCTTTGAACCGTTTGCTTGATGCAATCTTCCTTTGCTCAGGAGTAGATGAAGGCAAGGTCAAGAGGGAAAGTCCCTCGTCAAGGACTACACTGTGCAGGTAGGTCAGTGAGTTCACAGCCACTGACTGACCTCAAGACTGGTATTGTAAATGATATCTAATAGGTTCTGCCCTGCCTGTTGTCAGACATAATCAGGAAACCTAATCAAAGCTACACTGTGAGTGTGACAACCGTTCAGTAACTTTTTACAGTTCTCAAAGCCTACAAGGTGGACCTAAGCTTGACTTTTCTGAAGGAAGTGACCAAAAAAGAAAAAACAAAACACAAAATAAAACCAAAACACTCTATGAAGCAGTGTTTCTCAACCTGTAGGTGGTGATTGAAGGGCTGCCTAAAACCATAGGAAAACACAGATGCTTACTTTACAGTAGCAAAATTACATTTATTAAAGTTGCAATGAAAATAATTTTGTGGCTGGGGGAGGCCTGTAACATGAGGAACTGTATTAAAGGGTCGCAGAATTAGGAAGGTTGAGAACCACTTGTGTACGGAAAGGATTAAGTTTGAATAGTCAACAAGGAATGACAGGAAATCTTTTGACAAGACGTTGGACAAATACTATCAATATGATAAGTGACATTCTCAGACCCGAACAACTTCACAGTTTTAAACCTAGAAAAGGAATCCAGTGAGGAAAATCAAAGCTTGCACAGTGACACCTGGCTGTGGCTAGCCTCAGTGACAGAGATGTGCTTGGAATGGGTGGGCTCCAGAGTCCATTCCCAGCATCTAGAAAGGAAAACAAACAAAACTGGAAGTCCGAATGTCATTTATTTTTCAGTTTCATTTTTTGTTTTTCTGCATTTTGGAAGAATTCGCTCAAACCCACAGCCATCTTCTTCAGCGTGAGAACTGTCCTTCTTGGAAGCCCCTGGTCACAGAAGTCAAGCTCAGATTCTCCCAGGCTGCAGGCTGCAGTTCCTCAGTCTCTCTCTGAAGTTGGGAACGAAAACCAGGACCGGGGTGGGGGTGCCAAGTGGCCTTTAGACCTAATCCAGGGCACTTGTCCATGGCAAACACGTGCATTTACTGCACCGTCCTGCACATTGTACCAAGGGATTGACAGACTGTTCCGCTTGGTTTCGCGGGCAGAGCCTTGGAATCGGCCTTGTCTACTTGGGATGGTCCAGGGACCCCGATACAACCTCTGTTAGGGACGAAGCCTACATGGAAAGGGAAGAGAAAGTAAGGCTCCCTTGACTTGCAACTAAGGTCTCTCCAACACGACTCCTTTCTCCCTCGCAAGCCACCCAGGCTGGTCATCCAGGGATCAACCGGGCAGCCTGGGTCTCCGCGGCACCTGGATCCGCCTGCGCCGAAGGGGCAGCTCGGTGCTTGGCGGCGTTGTTGAATCACTGGTGAGTCACTCCTTTCGGGGTCTCGGAGTTTCCTAAGGGAGGAGGCGGGGCAGGGGTGTGGATTGGCCGGGATCCGCCTACCGCCAAGGCGAGTGACCCTGGCTGGGGGGCGGGGAGTCGCGGGCCTCGGCGGAGGCGGCGCGGGGTGGAGAGGCGCCGGTGGCCGCGCGGCCCTTTATAACGCGCCCCGCGCGGACCCCGGCAGCCTGGGTACAGCCGGTGCCCATCACCCGCTCCCTCCGATTGCTTCCGTAGCGCAGCCTCCGCGCCGCCGCCGAAGCCTTGCGACCTCCCGCCACCAGCCCTTGGACATGGCGATCCCCGTGCGCCCGCGCCTCCTGGCGGCTCTCGCGCCCACTTTTCTCGGCTGCCTCCTTGTCCAGGTGGTCCCGGCTGCAGGTGAGTGGCACTGGTCATGGGGAGCCTGGAGCGCAGGGGAGACAGAGGATGAACCTGAGTGGCCGGGGACTGCTGTGGTTCATTGGGGACCCTAACGTGTCCCGCCGCACCTGTGGATTGCCCTGAGGGTTTGAATGAACGCAGGGTGCTCGCGCGGGGATGGGTAGTTGATGCCGGACCCGGCTTTTGTCTAGCTCTGTGCGTCCGCCGTGGTTGCACAATGATCTGGGTTTCCCACTTTACTTTGAGGAGTTTCCTAAGAAGTTGCTTCTCTGAAGGTGGCGGGCGCCTCTGTCCAAGTCGGCGTGCTTTCCGTGGCTTGCATTTATCTTTGACAAGGTGCGCGCCTTCCCGTAATAGCTGTTATTGTGGCCTTTGGTTTAGATTTGATAAACTGAGGCAAGACGGAGTGCATACCCCACATCTGCCCAATATCTGGGGTGAGACAGAGACTGAAACGAGAACTTGCAAAAAATGAGATGTTAATAACAGTATTTTAATGGAATGGTATCCCACCATGTGACAGGTGCCACGTGGGCTGCCTGGTCTACCTTGCTCTCCGCGGGAGTTTCAGTGTAGAGATATTTTAGATTACAGTAGGAAAGGTCAAGTTTGGCTTTTTTCTTTTCTTTTTTTTTTTCTTTTTTTTTTTTTTTTTTTTCTGTTTTATGCATTCCTGACTCGTCTCACGTGTGTAGGACGTGTGTAGGATGTTCCCTCCTTTGAACTTCTTCAAACCCTTCTTTGCTGCCTCTACTTTGAGCCTGACTGCATTAGAAGGGTCTGGGACTCTCTGGCATGTGAGTGGACCTCCTTTCACATCGTTATAAAGTGTGCTTTCCCGTGGATAGTTTAAACAAGGACATCAGGGTCTTTAGCCATTTCCACGGACTGTGATGTGGATGTTGCCTGGAGTGTGATATGAATCTAGGGGGGAAAAATGGACACGGACACACACCCTCTGTTCTCTATAGGTCGACAACGTTTTTGTAATTGACATTTAAAATGTGCTCCTTTGGTGGAAGCTGGCAAAGTGTTTCATGAACACTGAAGTGCGGGCAATTAGAGTGCTTTTGTGTTGTTCGTAGGTACTCCACAGAAGCCGTTTAATTTAACTTGGGAATCAACCAATTTCAAGACAATTTTGGAGTGGAAACCCAAACCCACCGATTATGTCTACAATGTCGAGATAAGGTAAGGTAGGTTAAAAACCGAAAGATAATGTTTTTGCTCTTCCGGTTCTTGTGAGCTAACATCGACTCTTTGAAGCTGATGTTAGTCGAGGGAGGCTATTCGGCAAGTAATAGAGTTTTCGTGGTGATTTGCCTGCCATTGTCACATCCCTTCAAGGAGGAAACAGTTCCATACTTGAAACTGTTATGACAGGAGCTGGGGATATACCAGTTCAGTGAGTGCTTACTTAGCACACTTAAAGCCCTGGTTTTGATCCCCAGCAATGCATAGAATTGGCATGGTGTCACTCAGGAGGTGGAGGAAGTTAAGATTAACAATTCACAGTCACTCTTAGCTGTATATAGGTCATCCTGCAATACATGGGACTCTGTATCAAAATAAATAAATAATGAAAACCAAATAAATAAAATTATCTAATGTCTAGTTAGTTGATGGAAATTACAGGAAAACTGCTAAGTGCTTATAAGCTGTACAGGGGTGACCCTGCTCATGCAGGTATCTATACTGTGCTTTGGGATCAGTGGCAGCTAATCTCCTAAAAGCACCAATATACTTTCCTGGTTGCTAGCTGTCTAGACTGAGCTGCTTCTGGCATGTCAGGGAGAGGTAGGAGGAATTCCAATGTCTACACTGCCCCCGAAGCAGCGTTTGATCCATTCATCTATGGACTCTGTGAATCAAATTTTGGTTGTACGCATGATCTTAGTGTAGGCCAAATTTCTGACTCACCAAGCTACTTAGAAAACACTATATCCTTTGCTGTATGGGGGCTGTTAGGCTCATTCAAACCTGTTCACTGATTGATAGCTCTCAGGAACAAGTAATTCAACACTTTAAAACTAAGTATCAGGGTATGCCACATTTTCCTTTGGTAGTTTCCACATATTCTTGGCAAGCCTTTGGTTTCTGATAGGTTCTAGGAGATGTGCAAGGAACTGGAGAAATCGTGACTGCCTGGTGGAGAAATTATTTTAATAATGATGATGTAAAGAAACAAGAGTATCCATATTTGCCAAAGTTAAGCACATTTTTGTCTCTTTGTTTTGCTGTTTCAGCTTATGCTAAACCTTTTATATAGTACTAGGATGCAACTCTTAGGTGTGAGTCTTTTAAATGACTTTCTTATTTTTCAAAATAAACTGAACAATAACTATTGCCAAACCAAAAGGGAAGAGAATTTGAGTGTGAGTACAAATGCATGCATAGCTGTGCATAAAGAAATTTCATAATCTATAATTACCATTGTAGTCACACTTATCAGGTCAAATTCTGGTGCTATAGTTTAGTGAAATACTTTCCTGCCACATACAAAGCCTTGGGTTTTATCCATAATCCCTCAATTTAGTTGAGTTGGTAATAGTGGACACTTTGAGGATTATTAGTTCAAGGTATGCTCCAGGCCAACTGGAGCTACATAGTGAGACCCTGACTTGAAACAAATTCAAACCTTGCCATTTCATATTCTAACAATTGAAAGTTATTAAAGTAATTAGTTTCCTTTATACAGATCTGACATTTATCTTAGAAAAGTTTTCTCCTAGATATGAATATTAGATTGTGGGAGGAATTATCTTCTAAATACATCATCTTAATTGGAACAACATTGGAAATGTATCTTGGATTGACTTGATTTTTGAGATAGAAATCTTTATTAACTGTAAGTTTTGTGGGTTTTTTTGGTTTTTGTTTGTTTGTTTGTTTGTTTTTGGTTTTTGGTTTTTCGAGACAGGGTTTCTCTGTATAGCTTTGGAGCCTGTCCTAGAACTAGCTCTGTAGACCAGGCTGGCCTTGAACTCACAGAGATCCACCTGCCTCTGCCTCCAGACTGCTAGGATTAAAGGCTTGTGCCACCAACGCCTGGCAAGTTTTTTGGTTTTTTTTTTTTTTTTTTTTTTTTTTTAAGGAGGTCGTTATTTAGATGAGTAGCTCTCATGAACTGCAAACATCACAGGGCACTGCTTAGGGAAACTCAAAGATGAGCCGGGTCACTCTCTTCAGGCCCTTGCTGCTCAGCAGGCTGATCCTGGAAGCTCTTTCATCAGTCAGTGCCTCAGACCTGAGCTAGCCTTCACTCTTCCCAAGGGGGAAGGGAATTCCAGGGCTAATGGAATCATAGCAATCATTTTTTCTAGATGAAGCTGTTGCTCTGGGAAGCCAGGGACCTGTCCTGACTGCTCCTGGTGAATGCCCAGGGTGACCAGAAACTGAGGCGTGCCACATCTTCAGGAGACTCTGTCAGGCTGGTGCAAGGCGGGCAGGAAAGCCTTGCTTATCACTGCTTCTCCTGAATCTCCTTTATTTTCTCACCTTAACCAGGGAACCCTGTTTCCCACCCCCACCCATACTGCGGAAGCTTGGCTCTGTGGTCCTGGTGCAAGCGGAGCTCTTTGCTAACTGGGCTGAGTCTCCATAAGCAATTTCTCTGAAAACAGGCTCAGTAGTAGCTGGGCGCCTCATCACTATCCGTGACTTGCGCCGTCCAGTCCATAGTGTGCGCTGAATTCTGAAGCTGAATTTAGAAGCACCCAGACAGAGCCTCTAACTTGGTTAGCGAATGTCCGTTTCGTTTTGGAACTCCTCAGTAAACTAGGACAGACTTTTGTTTCCAAATCTGGGGAGTTGTTCACTAACCTAGAGGGACCTTGAAGACTTCTAACGTGGCTGTGCTCTTGGCAGCGCCCTGAGGCCTCACTGGAGAACTGTCCTTGCCTTGACCCTGTTGTCACGGGATGATGTAGGCCCCTGTCCTAATTTTTTTTTTTTTTTTTTTCAGAGAGCACATGTTCCTACTTGTGAACTGGGTGGAACAAAACGCTGTATCTCTAGGCTGTATGTCCTCACCCAGAGCCTAGCCCCTGAGTGACTTGTTTGTCTTACTGGTGGAAAGAAACCATTAAGCCACCATTGGCTTTTGATATGGAAAAGATGTAATCAAGATGTGTTTTGGCCATTCTGGATCCAAGTAGCCTCTCCATCCTTGCATGGACACACACACACACACACACACACACACACACACACACACACACGCACACGAAGCTAAAATGTTTCAGTCTTAATGTTAGTTTGTGACTTTGAGGATAAAGGATATATGTGCCCAGGTTCAAACTTTCAGTCTGGTTATATTTTTGAAGAATCCCCATTTGTGCCTCCCGTTTGTGGATTGAGATAAATGAATCTATATGTGAGTCCCCTGCTCATTGTTGTGTTAATAGTCTACATCTATGTTGAATAATAAGGTCTATCAATAATAGATTGCCTACATAATTACATTCTGTTATGATCATCATGCATAGTTAGTCAACCACGACTCTCCTGTATGCCAGATATCATACTGTCCCTTTGCACATGTTGCCTCATTTGATATAATGTCTCTAAGGAGAGGCTGGTCCTTTTTAATGTGTGTGGTCATGGGAAGTGTGTGTGCGCCCTGGGAGGGTAGCAGTCGCATACTCAGCACACAACGCAGCCCTACTGCTTGGTAGAGAGATGAAAAAAAAGAGAGCCTACATGTTCAGAGCTTTTGTGGCAGTAGGCTGGGGACCAGACAGAGAGAGAGAGACAGAGAGAGAGAGAGAGAGAGAGAGAGAGAGAGAGAGAGAGAGAGAGAGAGGAGTGCTGAGCAAGGCGATATGGGGATCTGGAACTGGCTTGAGTGCTGGGGTCTGTCTGGAAGGATGGTGTGAACCACAGATCAGTGACTCCTGCCACTCATTTGGTAGGAGTGCTTGGAACAAGGTATGGCGGAGCTCGACTAATGCTCATTTTAGTCTTTTCAAAGAATTTCATTTTCAGCAGAAGTTCTTCAAATTATATTCTCTTCCACGGTGCCTAACAAAAAAGAAAGCTCTGTCTTCTGTCCTAGGAGGATGTTCAGACTTTGTAAAATGGATGTTACCTGCATTGGTTTTCTCTGATCTTTGGGGAGGTGTGTTCTCATTCTTGTAGTCACAGCTAACGTGTGGTGTAATTAAGCAAACCTCTGGGTACTGGGAGACTTTGAAAGTTGCTTAGTGTCTCTGACCTTCTATTTATACATGCATTTTAAAAAGGGGGACTGGAGAGATGGCTCAGTGGTTAAGAGCACTGGCTGCCCTTTCAGAGGACCCGAGTTCAATTCCCAGCACCCACATGGCAGCTCACAACTGTGTGTAATTCCAGTTCCAGGGGATCTGAAGCCCTCACACAGATACACAGATACACATATAGACCAAACACCAATGCACATAAAATAAAAATTAGTTAATTAAAAATTAAGAAAAAAATCTGGCAGAGCCAGCTTGTTGCTTAGTGAGCTTGCATCCATGTGTCATATGCTCAGGGTGAGAAATGCCTCTTTAGGTTTCCCTATGACTGCCAGTTGGCATCACAGAGTCATCCATTCTGCTGGACACAGACCCTAACATCCCTTTCTTTCCCTTCCCTTTAGCTCTGGAACTAGAGACTGGAAAATCAAATGCTTCTTAACCTCAGACACTGAGTGTGACCTCACAGATGAGATCATGCAAGACGTGCACCGGACTTATCAAGCAAGGGTCCTATCTGTCCCACGGAATAACACTTATTTGGGGGAACCGCCATTTACAAATGCCCCAGATTTTTTACCTTACCAAGACAGTAAGTAGCTTGGTGTGTAATACTTTCATTCTTGGTCTAGTCGTCTGTGTACTCTTGTGTTTTGTGACCCCTACTGGCCATTAGACTAAACATATATCGCTGTACACTGAGAAAGCTAGACAGGCATCTAATAAATAGATCTCCCATTCTCTGCTGATGTGGTGGGGGATTCTCAGAATGTGAACTGTGTCATCTACTTTCCCCTCCAGTCTACTCCCAGTTCCTACCAGTAACCAGCTGGAGGCTGCACCAAGGCTATGGCTGTGGCTTTTCCTTGGGGTACCCTGTCAGGATACATGTCACACAGTGGATTTTCTATCCCTTCAGATTAGCAGTCCTAGTTGAGGATTTTCCCCCAGACAAGCTCAGATCCTCAGGGAAGCTTGCTTGTGCCTGTAATTAGGCATGTTGGTTCCTCAACCAGCTGAGCTTCATTTGATCCCAAGAGGAGCCAGTATGTGCCAGCTCTGAGTCAGCCTCCCTCGATCTGGGTTTGAACGTGTGGCATACTTTCTTCCCTACCTTTGTCCTAGGGTGTTAGCCTGCCATCTAATAAGGAAACACAGAGAATTCCTGACAAGTAGATTTTTGCGGGGAAGGCAGGGGAGGGTGTAGAACTGGGGTTCAGAAGCTGACATTTCATGAACACATGCAGCATGTTAGGAAGACCGAACTCCACTCCTGCAGGCCCTGCTGGTTCAAACAAAAGTGTTGTATTTTTATGTTCCCATCTGTATCCCTGTTACAGCTCTGGGACACGGATGGTGAGAAGTGTGATCGACAATTGACTAGAATTTTATGTCTGATATTTGCTCTCATGGTCTAATTACCCAGGTGAATGTGGCCATCTTCCTGGGGTCCCCATTAACACGCCCCTCTCTCTTCATACTCTTCTTTGTTTTTACCTGTGTGTTTCTACACGACACCTTCATCTCATGCAGGCTCACTGACGATCTTTCTCCCACAGCCATGATTATTCTTTACAGTTCCTGAGCTTTCAGTAAACCAGACCAAATCCTTTGTGGTACATGACAGAACATATACGCCTCCCCACCCCCCCAACACCACCACACACACACACTGTCCTGTGACTTGTATAGAGGGAGGATTTATTTGACCATCACATAACCAGAGCACATGAGGGAACTGAACCAGGATTAGCTTAAAATGGATTCTATGGTGGATAGACACTTCTTGGGCTTCCCAGACCCTAATTTAGTGTAGCTAAAATATGGAAGCTTGCAAAACTGCATTGTACAGCCTGGTATCGATCATCCACACATGGCGACCAAACTCTAGAAATATTGCAAATGCTGCCAAGATGAAATATATGCCAGTTTTTTTTTTTTAATGTAAACTATACATGAAGTATTTATATTGATTGCGTGTTAAAACGCTAGACTACCAATGGGCCTGTTAAAGTTTATTATTAAGATTCATTCCACCAGCCCCTTTTCACATTTTCTACTGACTGTTAGGAAAGCTTCCTTGTGTTTCCAGAGGATGGCATCGCCGTGTGCTGCCTTGGGACTCGGCTCTAGGGTCCCACCACTCCTGCTACCAGAGCTGACTTGGTACAGATGTTCTATGTGAGCAATGGAGGAGTTGTCATTTACGATAACTAAGTGATCTTTTCTTTGTATTGATTTTAACTTCCAACCAATTTAATTGATTTTTTTTTTCCATTCCAGCAAAACTCGGACAGCCAGTAATTCAGCACTTTAAACAAGTTGGTACAGAACTGAATGTGACAGTAGAAGACACACGAACGGTGGTCAGAAGGAATGGCACGTTCCTCACCCTTCGGGATGTCTTTGGCAAGGACTTGAGTTATTCACTATTTTTTCGGAGAGAGTCGAGCACAGGAAAGGTGAGAAATTTTTCATTCATTTTTACTCCTTGTTTTATAGAGCCTTGATTCTCCACAGCCCTAGTTCAAATACGGAGGAGTCGGGGTTGTCGTGGTGATACGGATGACAGGTCCCCATTCTCCTGTCACTTTTGAGTTAGTTGCCTTGTGCCCTTGAGCAGGTCCTTTCAGAGACCCCAATTTCTCGACCAGGAGCTGGACCAGATCATCTCCAAGGGTCCTGTCCTCTCCCACATCCTCACTGGGGTTCCCAGAGGGGAAAAATGACTTATTACTTAATCTGTGTGTGTGACACACTTGCATTCGAGCACTCATGCTCCTTTGTGATGCTGGCGGTTGGTACCCAGGGCCTTGTACTCTAGACAAGTTCTCTATCACTGAGTTGCATCCCTGGCCCCCGAATGTCCTATCTCCAGTGATTCTTTTTTTTTCCTACAGGAAAAAAAGGGCTGAACTGAGTCAGATGTACCTAAGTTGTATTTTTCCAAAGCCTTAGTAAAGGCATCCTTAGCAAGATCAGGAGTTACTAATTAGCCAAGTGTCTTTTTTTTTTTTTTTTTTTTGTCTGGTTTGGTTTGGTTTTTGTTTTTCAAGACAAGGTTTCTCTGTATTGCTTTTGGAGACTGTCCTGGAACTCACTCTGTAGACCAGGCTGGCCTCTAACTCACAGAGATCCGCCTGCCTCTACCTCCTGAGTGCTGGGATTAAAGTCACCTGGAGCCAAGTAACTTCTAATCCTCCTGTGTCAATGAAGTCCACATAGACTTTGCTTAGAGCCCAGGATCCGCCCTCCTAGGTGACTAAATAAAGGGAAAAACTTCACTCTGAGTCTAGATGGAGTAAAAACTCTTTATCTTTTCACAGAAAACAGCCAGTACAGACACTAATGATTTCTCCATTAAAGTGGATCAAGCAAGAAGCTACTGCTTCACTGTACAAGCTGTAATTCGCTCCAGGAAAGATAACAAGAGGAGCCCAGAAAGCAACATGGAGTGCTCAGATGAATGGGAGAGTATAATGGGAGGTGAGTATCCATGGCTGTCTGGGAGGATTGGCTGCCCACAACAGAGATAACATGCAGGGAGAAACCACCTTAGGGTGTTTTTTTGGTGGGGGGGTTCTCTTTGGGAGAATTTAGAAATGATTCCACATGGTTCCCTTAGTTAGCAAGCACTTTCCTAGGCACTTGCAATGGGTCAAATTCTAAGAGGTATGCATAGCACAGTTCAGACTTGAGTATCGAGTCACAGCCATCTCTGCCTGTTTTTCCTGACATTATGATCAGGGAGGAGTGGTTCCTGGACATGGCAGATATTTCAGTGCACCTATGATGGACTGTTGCTCCTGGGAATGTATGCGTGCGAGCACACGTGAACACACACTCTGGGTGTTCAATATCATGTCCGAAAGCCTGCAGATATCCTTCTGGGCCCCATAGAGAAGGGGCTCTGCATGATGTCATGGGAGCAGAGGCAGGGGACAGGCCTGGCCCCTGTTAAAGTTTCAAGTCATTATGTTAAGCCACGTAAGCCAGACTCACAAAGATGAATACTACATTTTTCTCTTATATGTGGAAACCTAGATTTAAAATTGTGTGTGTGTGTGTGTGTGTGTGTGTGTGTGTGTGTGTGTAGGTCATGTGACTAGAAAGGGGGCCACGAGAGAGAAGGGTGAGATACAATGAAATAAATATAAGAAAGTCGAGGTGTGACCTATCTGCGGGGAGGGACTGGAGAGAGACAACGGAGCATGGGTGGAAGGGATGAATGAGCACAAAGCGAACTACGTGTAGTTATGAAAATGCCACAAGTAAACCCCTTGCTTTATACGCTAACCTAAAAATAACTTTCTAAATGCAAGAATACATTTTAGTATTCTACCTTTTTACTGCTACTGACAGAAAGTCCTCCTTCCATTGGGCCCACACACCCCTGGGCCAGCTCCTGAACCACAAGCCTCCAGATTCCCTTTCCTAAGCCCTACACTAATCCTGCTGCCGCCACCTCGGCCCGTTTCCCTGTCTAACCTCTGAGGTATTGCCAAGGGTCCCTCCAGGGAGCCTCTTTACTACAGCAGCCAGCTACATCTCTTCATCTCCCGCATCACACTGGCTCTCCTCTAGGCTTTTCTCATTCACCTTTTATGATCATCTCTGCCACCAAACTCGGGTCCCTTTAGGCCACATTTCCAATGCCTGTTCTTACATTCAACTCCAGTGGGTCTGCTCTGGCTGGGTGTGTGTTCACGTGTGCTCGCACGCACACATTCCCTGGAGCAACAGTCCATCATAGGTGCACTGAAATATCTGCCATGTCCAGGAACCACTCCTCCCTGATCATAATGTCAGGAAAAACAGGCAGAGATGGCTGTGACTCGATACTCAAGTCTGAACTGTGCTCTGCATACCTCTTAGAATTTGACCCATTGCAAGTGCCTAGGATTGGTTGGTTCCTTTAATAGTGCTGCCACTGTCTAGCATAAGAGGTCAGGTAAATTCTTGCTTAATCTAAGAATAGTAGAAAGGGTAAAAGAAATAGACTCCCAGTTTCAAATAAGCAGGATGGTGTCATTTGGGGTCATGCACACCTGAGTGGGATTTGAGCTCCAAGTTGACTTGGTGTCTTTGATTTTTATTTTTTTTTCAGAAACACTCATCATCGTGGGAGCAGTGGTGTTCGTGGTCATCATCTTTATCATCCTCCTGTCCATATATCTGTGCAAGCGCAGAAAGGGCAGAGCAGGGCAGAAAAGGAAGGAGAGTCCTCCACTTCGCTCAGCATAGAGGAGAGGAAGGAGGCTGAAGCCACTCAATACTTCACTACCCGCATGACCACTGTTACCAAGACCTCTAATGGGAGCAGAGGATGTGGAGCATAGAGCTTGACCATCCTGGTACAGGAAGGTTACCTTTGTGACCTGATATCCCAGCCAACGCTCTGATTCCAACACTAGCATTTGTCACTTTAGAATGTACTGAACGGTACAGACCAGTTAACACTACAGCATCTTTTGCACAAATGCTTTAGATTGTGTATTCTACACTCAGGAAGACACTAGGTCATCAGGAGACAGATGCCTTCCATATACCCAGGGTGGACTTTTGGGAGAGCCTTTGAGAAGCAGAAATTGGGTTGACTTTTCTGACAGCTGTCCTTTTGTAAAGTGGTATTTGGTTTCTTGTTTTACCCCCCCCCCCTTCCTAGGTACTCTTGAAAGTTCAAAGCAATTGGCAAACTTTCATATTAATGTGTTAAATGCAGGATATTTCTGCGTGGGGCATCTTTCTGATATGTATTACAACTTAGCACTTTAACTACAATGGTGGAGATTAAGTATTTGATAATTAAGTCTATTTTTATAAGACTACTATACAAAAAAAACTACATCGAGTTTTATGATTTAAGGTACTTAAAAGTGTCTATATTTATATAAATTTTAAATGTTTTGTATATGGGATTTTCTATGTATACAGCTTCTATTTGTATATCTTGAGGTAATTTATTTAATATACTTTTCTATAAATAAAGGTGATTGGGAATTGAGACTATCACATTTATTATCTCCCATTTACTACTTGGTATTTGCATTAGGTGACTTTGCTGTAGTAACATATGGCCCTAAAGATCTTAATGGTTCACAACAATGTATAGTTTTCACTTATACTGCATTTGTTAAGCCTTGGTAGGTGGTAACCTCTTGTAGTATCTTCTCGTTGCAAGGCCTAAAACAAAGCAGAGGCCTTCATTTGGATCAGAGCAAAGGTGAACACACACACACACAAAACCAAAAAACCTGCACCTTTAATGTTTAAGCCACTTTTTAAAAGGGACTTTTTGGGTTATAATATAATTATATCATCTCCTCCCTTCCCTTTCCTCCCTCCAGCCCCTTCCATGTGACCTTGTCCCTTGACCCTTGGTCTCATTCAAACTCTTGTCTGAGAAGGACAGGTCACAAATTGATGGCAGGGATATAATTTTATAGAGAAAGGAGAATCTAGTACAGACTTAGAGGATTCTTCCCATAGCCACTCACTTGCATTGTGGATGAGGCTAAAAGAGAAAGAAAACTGCATTTGATTATGTTGATAAAAATTAGAAGGATCAGAGAGATGGCTCAGAGGTTAAGAGCACGGGCTGCTCCTCTAGAAGTCCTGAGTTCAATTCCCAGCAACCACATGATGGCTCATAACCTTCTGTAATGAGATCTGGAGCCCTCTTCTGGCCTGCAGGTGTACACGCAGACAGGACACTGTATAATGAATAAATAAATCTTAGAAAGAAAGAAGGAAAGAAAGAAAGAAAGAAAGAAAGGAAGGAAGAAAGGCTTAAAGCCTTAGGCCAGGGTAGTGGTGCACACCTTTAATCCCAGCACTCAGGAGGTAGAGACAAGTGGATCTCTGAGTTCAAGGCTAGCCTGAACTATGTAGTGAGTTACAGGTCGTCCAGAGCTGTGTAGAAACCCTGTCTCAAAGATAAATAAATAAATAAATAAATAAAATAAAAATTAGAAGGATCAAAGCGGATAGATGGAACGAAGTGTCTAGATTGGGAGCAGAGCTCTTTATGGGCGACCACTGAGTTTAGCTCTTGGTTTAGACCTCATTTGAGGAAACTAAGCACAAGTACTAAGCTGACTTGATGACTTCTAAAATGGAGAAACTGGGTGAGTCTTTCAGATGCAGCAAAAGTACAGAAAATATTCAGACGGGATGAAGATGAAGTTGTGAGCCGGCTGAACCACAGACCTGCTTCAGCCTCCCTCTGTGGAAGGCTGGGGAGTTACCAGCAGCCCACTTAATCTCGTAAATTTCGTTTACCCAGTAACAAGCATACTCAGGCTCGGGGCTGAGCCTGCTCAAGCCGGTGCAGCTTTTGGTAGAGCAGCAAAGGGCGTGTGTGGCAGAGCAGGAAGGGATGAGCCAGGCATGGGTTCACGTCCTCGGAGAAGAGCGCCTTTGCCCTTATCTTGAGTTCCTGCTCACATGTCTTGCCGAGGACAAAAAGCTCCATGCACCACATGAAGGGCAAAGCTGGAGCTCGTGCCTGGCCCTGAGTTTTCTCTGCCAGGAATAATTCTAGCGTTATGTAATTCCTTGCCTTCATAATCTAAGGAATTTGAATTATCTGCAGACTGAAAGCAGGTCTGGGTATAAATAAGGTGCCTAGTTGTTCGCAGAGGGAGAAAGGCAAGGATCAGATGGGCCCACTCCAAACGTTACCTACCACACACAGTCACACCTCTCCTTTTTGCGGACACTAAACAGCTGCCCCTAAATCAACACTGGGCTCTACAGTTGAAACCAGACACCAGGACTTGCTGCCCTCTAGTGGGCCAAACTGAAAGCCTCCTTCCCTGGGCTGGCCCTTAGCTGCATATTGATAAAGCTTACTACTAATTACTAAACAGAACTTGAGTGCTTTCTACAGATATCTTTTCCATCGTAAATTACTGTTTTGCATATACATAAGAAACTAGAATTTGTTTCTCCGAGGACAGTGACAGCCATCAGCTCTTAGTTTGAGTACCTCCCTCTTAAATAAACAATGATACTATTGCATCAGGAAATACTCCTTCCCAAATGCCCTTCATACATGTTCTAAGACAACTATGCTACATTCCTCCAACTGCTGGCTTCCTTTTTTTTCTTTTCCTTTAATCATGGATTTAATACCATCAGATCAATCCCATTTAAAGATCAATCTCAAATCACTATCATGTAAATTGAACACAGCAGGAACCCTTGCTTAATTGTACACAAAAGGATGATCTAACTGAGTGGTGGACACAGATGACCTGGGTAGCAAAATGAGAAGACAAGTTTTGGGATGTGACAGATTTCTAGAATATGCTTTACCCCACCATGGACTTTTCACTGGAACTAATCATTTTCTGTTGTCTGTGATCGGGTTTTCTGTTTCTTGTAGTAAGCACTCTGTAATCACTGCTGTGGCAGTTAAGCATAAAGGAAGAAGCCACCTGAGTGTTCTAAATGAGAATGCTCCCATAAGCTCCTGTGTTCAAATGTATGGGTCCCAGTGGGTGGAACAGCTTAAGGGTTAGGAGACGTGGCCCTGCCTGAGTAGGGTGTCACTTGGGGTGGGCTCTGAGGCTTAAAAAGCCCATGTCTCACCTCTTCCTCTAGGTCCTATATTGAACTCCTGTTGGAAGAGGTGAGTCTCAAAATGGAGGGCCATGATCCAAAGGAACCAGAACAGTTGAGGAAGCTGTTTATTGGTGGTCTGAGCTTTGACAGATGATAGCTTAAGAGAACATTTTGAGAAATGGGACGCACATACAGACTGAGTGGTAATGAGAGACCCCCAAACAGAATGTTCCAGGACCTTTGGTTTTGTGACCTACTCTTGTGTTGAAGAGGTGGAAGCTGCAATGTGTGCTAGACCACACAAGGTTGATGGGCGTGTGCTGGAACCAAAGAGAGCTGTTTCTAGAGAGGATTCTGTAAAGCCCAGTGCCCATTTAACTGTAAAGAAAATTTTTGTTGGTGGGATCAAAGAAGATACAGATGAATATAATCCGAGAGACTGCTTTGAAAAGGATTGAAACCAAAAGATTGAAACCATAGAAGTGACGGAAGACAGGCAGAGTGGACAAAAGAGAGGACTTGCTTTTGTAATTTTTGATGATTGTGGCACCATTGGCAAAATTGTTGTTCAGAAATACCACACTATTAATGGGCATAATTGTGAAGCAGAAAGGGCCCTTCCTAAACAGGAGATGCAGTCTGCTGGATCACAGAGAGGTCGGGGAGGTAGATCTGGCAGCGTTATGGGTCGTGGAGGAAATTTTGGTGGAAGAGGAGGCTCTGGTCGAGGAGGTGGTGTCAGCAGAGGTAGTTATGGAGGTGGTGATGGTGGGTAGGATGAATTTGGGGGAGACGGTGGCAACTATGGTGGTGTCCTGGTGGTGGACAGGATATGGAAACCAAGGTGGGGGATATGGTGGTAGAGAAGGGTATGATGGTTACAATGAAGGAGGAAGTTTTGGTGGAGGTAACTATGGTGGTGGTGGGAACTATAATGACTTTGGAAATTATGTGGACAACAGCAATCAAATTATAGACCCACGAAAGGGGGCAGTTTTGGTGGAAGAAGCTCAGGCAGTCCCTGTGGTGGTGGTTGTGGATCTGGTGGTGGATATGGTAGCAGAAGGTTTTAAAAAAGAAATACAGCAGAAAAGGGTTACTGTTCTTAGCAGAGAGAGAGTGAGGAGTTGTCAGGAAAGCTGCAGGTTACCCTGAGACAGTTGTCCTAAATGCATTAGAGGAACTGTAAAAATCTGCCACAGGAGGAACGATGATCCAGAGTCAGAAAAGTTACTGCAGCTGAAACAGGAAAACCTTTTTGTTCAGGACTGGCATAGCCACAGTTTGCAAAAAGTGATTAATGCAATGTATGTCAATTAGATGTACATCCCTGAGGTCTTTCATCTGTTGTAGCTTTTTCTTTTTCTTTTCATTACATCAGGCATTCTGGCCTGTAAATTGTGGTGGTGGTACCAGGAATAAAAAATTAAGGAATTTTTAACTTTTCAATATTTGTGTAGTTCAGTTTTTCTACAGTTTAGTACAGAAACTTTAACAAAAACGCAGGCCTTTAATCCCAGAACTCAGGAGGCAGAGGAAGGCAGATCTCTGTGAATTCGAGACCAGCCTGGTCTACAAGAGCTAGTTCCAGGACAGCCTCCAAAAACTACAGAGAAACCCTGTCTTGAAAAAACAAAAAACAAAATTAAATGAATAAATAAATAAATAAAATACAAGCCCTATCCTGGGACACTGCCCTCTGTCCTCCAGCTTAGAAGTGCTGAGTTGTCCTAGCCTTGAACCTGTCTCTGTGGGCCGTTAGCTACTCTGGCATTATGTCCAAGCCTGTGGTCTCGGATCCTGCACACATGCTGTATACCCACAGCACCTAACTGTGATGCCTTCCAAACAGATTCTGAAGCCCCGGCATTTTTCAGAGCGGATACAGTACTTAGACAACATGCTTGATATCTTACAGGAAGTTTATTCAAACCATCCAAAGAGAAACTAATCCCCTACCCCCGCAAATCTATTTCTCTCCCGTCTTTCCCATTTCAGGAAATGATACCACCAGTGGTTCAGCCCCCAACCCTGGTGTAATCATTAGCTTTTCTTTCCCTTACCTATGCACTCTTCAAGCATGTTGGTTAAACTAGATCCCAGCCACACCGTCACCTCCCCTGACCCCACTCCAAGCCACTTTGGCATTGAAAGCTACTGTCAAGCCATCCTTTCTTCATGACTCATCTCCTCACCCTCTGCTCCAGCCATTATCTTCACAACTACCACATGCAATCTCAACAGCACAGCAGGGTCACAAGGCCCCAGAACCCAATTACCATAGCATGCTGATTTTTTTTTCTATGACTTCATTTTAAATTTAACATCCCCCCCTCCTTTTTTTTTTTTTTTCCTACTGGGCGACAGCAATCATCCCAGGAACCTGAAGATGCCCACTGCTGTGTGTGTTTTTCCTGGAGACTGTGAGCAAACATC